TAAGTATGGCAGTACCTACACTTCGGAACTCCCTGCCTATTGATAACATGAGGGCGCCTTCCCTGTAAACTTTTTGGTGCCAGCTCAAAACCGTTTTTTTAGGCAAGCCTACCCAAATGTTTAGGAAGTAGATGCGAGTTTTAATCTATTGTTATTTTTAACTTTTCAAAAGTCTTAAATGATTGTTGTTAATTCTTCTTATTGGTAATTTTATTGTTGTATCTTCTTTTTCTGTAAATTGCTTCGAGGGCTTTTTTTTTTAACAATCAAATGGTTATGAAGTAATAAGAAGTAAATCTAATCCAAATCAAGAAATTCACTGCTACACTTGACGAGCTGTGTAAAAGTTGGAATTAACCTCACCGAAAGCAGGTATGTATAGCAATGATGTTTTCACCACTTGGAGAGGCTCACATCACTCTCCCCAGTCTATCATCACATGGATAAACTCTTGTGATGGTTAGGGTGCTGGACCAGGACTTGGGAGAGACCAAGATCGAAATCCCCACTTAGCCATGAAGCTCACTGGGTGACCTCAATGGCCAGCCACCATCTCTCAGCCCAGCCCACCTCACAGGGTTGTTGTGAGGATAAAAATGGGGACGGCAGAAACCCACGCACACCGCCTTGAGCTTGTTAGAGGAAAGGCAGGACATAACTGTAATAGATAAATAAAAAAAGAAGGTTGAAGTCAATATGGATGATAGGGAGATCAACTTTTTAGAGTGAGGACTGATTTTGTGAGTTGGGGGGAAAGGGATACAGCAAAATGCAAGACCTGCTTTCTTCAGCCGTGCTAGCCCTAAAGAAAAGGAATAATCCAGTGGGGGGGGGGAAAAGGTAATTATGTCCCCAATAACCTGATGCAATGTTTCATCCCTGTCGTAGTTCCAGGGATCATAGACACAGGAAAGCTTCCTCCTATTGAGTCAGACCATTGGTCCATCTAGCACAGTTCTCCCAACACTGACTGGCAGCAGCTGTCCAAGTTTTCAGGTAGGCAGCCTTACCTGGAGATGCCAGGGGAGGAAGAGGATTGATCATGGGACCTTTGACACGCAAAGCATGTCCTCTGGTACTGAGCCAAGACAGTTCCTTTCATTTTTTAAAATTTTGTAGTTGCTGGATCATCCAGATGAATTCTGATTTCACTGTTGATTAACCCCCCCGCCTCTGCTTCTAATTCTTCCCTTCGTGCTCCCCCCAGCCCATTCTTCTAATGTGATTAAAGGATCATGCAGGGGAGATGGGGGGGAAAAAGAATAACATCCCTTGGTTTTTACATACGGTTTCTCAGCACACACAAAAGCCTTTAATTGATGTCAAACCCTTGCACAGATAATTGATTGTATGACTAAAATGTAGCGAGTAAATGTAGAGGAAAGACAGGGAGTCAAGGGCAATGTCGCCAGCTCAAGTCATGTAATTCATTTGGACTGAATCAGTGTTTATCCAGAGCCCGGAATTTCAGAGGGCAGCTTGGATTTAGAGCGGCCTTGGGAGACAGAATCTTTTTGTTTCAAAATCCTCTACCAAGTTTGCAAGGGCATGGCAAGAATGCATGCCTCTACAGCAGGGACAGATGGGAAATTCGATTCCGTTTGCATTTAAACCCAGTTTGATCCAGTTCACACTTCCGGAAACAATTCATTAACTGAACACAGCCATCCCTCTGGAATCTATCCAAATTTTTCCAATGCAAAGAGCATTTATAAAAATGCATTATATTAAGGCAGCATGTGCACAAGAACTGAGATGTTGTTGAAAATGACATACACAAATGCATTGTGCTGGGAGAAATAGCTTGCAAAACTGTGCGCTTTTATCAAAATTGCATCCCTCCTGGCCCGAGTTCAGATCTTACAAGCTGCTGTGATAAAGTATAAAATGTACTTAAGAAGGCTAAGGAAACATCAACACAGACATGCACACTCAGTGGAACAGGAGTTTAATTTATTTCAAAGCCCAAATAGTCTAAAGAGCGAAAAGAACCACATGGAAGAGAATGAAGTTGAAGAGAGCCAGTGTGGTGTAGTGGTTTAAGTGTTGGACTAAGACCTGGGACAGACCATGGTTCAAATCCCCGCTTGGCCATGAAGCTCACCTTGGGCCAGTCACTGCCTCTTAGCCTAACCTACCTCACAGGGTTGTTGTTGGGATTAAATGCAGAAGGGAAGACCCATGCACAGCACCTTGAGATCCTTGGAGGAAAAGGTGGGACATAAATGCTATAAATAAAACAGCTAATAATAAGATGAAATCATTCAACGCTCCACCACCAAACAAATTTAATTCATGTTCATTTCGCCCATCAATTCCGGGAACTACTTGCTGGTGCAGTTCCAAGATTCAGTGAACTTTGTGAAATGGAACTAGTTCATTCCCAGCACTGAGCTCAACTACCAAGTCCAGTACTCAAAATTCCCTCGCTGCGACCACTAGTTTGAAGAGAGGATTCTGAACAGTTATGGCTCTGAAACAGCTCTCCAGCTCTACGCTATGCTTCCGAGAGAGGAGGATGCAGTTAATCATAGTGTGAATCTGTCAGTGCTTTGACTGCAAGTTGCTGGCATCCTTTTAAAGCACTGGTCCTGTAGATTCTGCCATCTTCAGATTGCTTTGTTTGTGGAAACAATCAGCCAGGTTGCCCATTGTACAGCGGCAGCCTCAGCAACTCCTTAATTAAGTGCTTTGTTGAGGTATATTAGAGAGAGAGAGAGATGCATTCTGCCAAGGACTCTCACATCTGTTTCAGGGTTTTCAACCTCTTGAAATCGCACTCAGGGAACTGCGTCTTGGTGGGGGCTTGGAGCTCCCTGGAGGCTCCAGACAAAGGAATAAAAAAACACACCCTCATTGCTCTGATATTCAGGCTGCTGTGCCAGCAGCGTAAGATCCATTCATTCCGTTCTTATGATGCAGTGATCAAATAGCGAGTGGACAGATTCTCTGCTGGAAGGCCAAAAGCCACCAGCTGCAGGCAAATATCAGAAGAGATAGTCCAAGTCAGCTTGGAGTGTCTGAAAGTTGACATGATGCGCCCCTCCCCTTAGTGGCACATCTATCTATCATCTATCTATCTATCATCTATCTATCTATCATCTATCTATCTATCTATCTATCTATCTATCTATCTATCTATCTATCATCATCTATCTATCTATCATCTATCATCTATCTATCTATCTATCTATCTATCTATCATCTATCTATCTATCTACCATCTATCTATCTATCATCTATCTATCTATCATCTATCTCTCTATCCCTCTATATCAGTGGTTCTCAACCTGTGGGTCCCCAGATGTTGTTGGACTACAACTCTAATAATAATAATAATAATAATAATAATAATAATAATAATTTATTAATACCCTGCACATCTGGCTGGGTTTCCCCAGCCACTCTGGGTGGCTTCCAACAAAACACCAAAATACAATAAACTATTAAACATTAAAAGCTTCACTAAACAGGGCTGCCTTCAGATGTCTTCTAAAAGTTTGGTACCTCAGCGTCTGGGCAGAACAATGGAGGTGGAGACGCTCCTTCAGGTATACTGGACTGAGGCCATCCCTGAGCTCTGCCCTTGCTAGCTAGGGGTGATGGGAGTTGTAGTTCAACAACATCTGGGGACCCACAGGTTGAGAAAGGCTGCTATATATTTATATCTATATCACCAATAGTTCACAATTTGACACCTTGATGTGCATATAAAAATGAGATGGCCACTGCGTGAGATGGCCACTTGGATCTGCATGATGTCGTCTAGCACCTCAATTATGAACTGTAGAATTGGAAAAGACCCTGAGGGTCATCCATTCCACTGCCCCCTGTGATGCAGGAATCCTGCCTACAGCCATCCCTGGGTGGACTCAAACCACCCACCTTCTAGTTAGCAGCCAGACACACCAAACCATTGTGCCACAGAGACAGAGCTGTATCCTCCTTGGTTGGGGAAGAGCTCCAGAGTCGAAGATGACTGGGTCTCCAAATGTACCTAGTAGTGGCATACGAGAGCCGAAAATATTTCCAATATATTTCACATCCAGCAACCAAGGTGCCCCCTTGGTTTCAGATAGTACATGGGTAGACGAGTCTTCAAAGCTGGGGACACCAATTTTCACGGCCCTCTAGCAGCTATGCACCAGAAGTAATATATTTAGCATTAACTCAGGCAGCATCTCTGCATGTATATTGTGCTCTGGGAGGCTTAGTTTGGCCAGAATTGAGTATGCACTTCCAGAGTGTAGCTGAAGTGAATGGGAAAGGCTGCTCGTGCAGGAGCAATGTGCTCACACAGTATGGGTCTGGACAGAAGACTCTTGCTTATAGGATTATAGGAACATACCAACACCCACTTTTGTATGGGGGAGGTCCCTCACCTCGAATGGAGGGGTTCATGGGATGGTGGGCTCCAAACTTAGCACTGTGCAGGTGTGTGGTTGCTGAATGGTTGGCAGAGCCCCATGTCGGTTGCTGAGGTCATGTTCCCTCCATCATTCACATCACCTACACCTTCTCCACTGCCTTGCAATGTCCTTCAGTAAACAGGTCATCTCATCCTGCCCTATGAATTTCTGTTCAGTGACAGATGCTGGTAGATTCCAGAGAACTGGCTTGCGAGCAACTGCTGGTTATGCTTAGAACAGATGTGGGGAAACTTTAGCCCCCCAGATGTTGCTGGGCTGCAACTCCCATCACCCCTGGCCATTGGCCACGTTTTCCAGGACTGGTGGGAGTTGTAGTTCTACAACAGCTGGAGGGACACAAGCCCCTCACATCTGGATAGGAACAAGGACTAATTCCCTTTATGGACCCAGCTGAAAGCAGGGAAGAATGAGCATTAGGTCTAAAGATTAATGGTATTTATGTGTGCGTCTTTACATGAGGGAAAAAACCTATAGGAAGCCTCCCTCCTCTAAGAAATCTAGCAGCACAATGTTGGATTTTTCATGGTTGTTTTTTTTTTTTGTGGAAATTTATACCTCAATGCAGAAATGTTATTTCAAAATCTCTTTTTTTAATTCAACTGTTATTCAGCAATATACAATACGGTTTATAAACAAATGTCTTACCTTGTTTCCAATCTTTCTCTTTTTTTATATTTAAAAATAAATATTATCAACAGTGAATATCCATTATGGTAAGATGTGCCTTTTTAAAAAATCAAGAGTTCCCCCCAAAAGAAATAATTTAATTAAAAAAGAGGGGGAGGGGAAGGGAGGAGGAGAAAGGAAATAATAATAATAAAAATAAAAAGCCTAACCACAATAATCTACTAAAAAATAGGACCCTTCCTTAGAAGGGCTTTGGCCCCCCCCATGTCTTTACATATCATCATAAAAGCAACTGTTCAACAGTTCGTGCAAAATTAATTGTCAGAGGAAAGGTTTAGAAAAAAAAGACGTTGGAAAAGAGAGAAATAATAGCTACCTTGTGTGGAACAGGGCATTGATACCATAGAATCTTGAAACTAGATGCATTATTTCAGGTGACTGACCTTTGTGTAATGTCCCAAAAATATGCTTTACCCCTCCCCTTGTTGAATGTGTTCATGCTTCTTTTCCAGTCTCTTTCTGTCCATCTTTAAGATTCTAGTTCTCATTGAGGGTTCTTTTTCCGTGTGTTTTTTGTTTTTGTTTTAAATAGTTTCCTTCTCATTTGGCTGAGGATTATCAGAGAAAGAAGTCCATCAGTGGTCTAAGAATAAGTGTACAAGCTTATGGAACATCAACAGGAACGAATAGAGGAAAGGATCTGTCACGTAAATTGGCTCAGTACCTAGGAGGGAACAAGAGGAAGAAAAATGAAGGAGGGAGGGACAGAGAGAAAGAAGAGAAAGGTTTAATTTTTGCAGCAGTTCAGAATCATTGATAACTTTAGTGTTTTGGTGAAGCACTGAGTGGTCACAGGGCAGGCATGGGGAACCTTTGACCTGTCAGGTGTTGCTGAACTACAACTCCCATCATCCTTGGCCATTTCTTCTGGGGCTGATGGGGGTTGAGCTTCAGTAACATCTGGAGGGTCCACAGGCTCCCCACATACCCCTCAGAGAATGCCTTCAGTTCAGGCAGTTTTGAGCAGAGGTGTGCAACCTGTGGCAGTAGCCAGTTAGATGATGGACCAATAATGCAAGGACCATTTTTAGAAGTTTATGTCCATAAATACGACACATCCCATGTTCATTGTCCAGGCTGGGTGTCATTCCTAATCTGTATATAGGCGAAGGGAACTCTTGGATTGTTCTGTCTAGTCCAGGGGTAGTCAACATTTTTATAGCTACCACCCACAAATGCATCTTTCTTTATGGTAAAATTTCCTTACCACCCACCAGTGCTCGATGGAAGGAGGATTCAGCTTGTGCTGTAGAACCTCCTACCGCCCACCTAGAATCCTGAAACGCCCACTAGTGGGCGGTAGGGACCAAGTTGACAACCCCTGGTCTAACCACTACAAATCTTTCTGGACTGATCTATGCTCACAACTGAGATAGGGCTGGCTGGCTCCATGGTCAATATTGTTGTCTAATGCATGCTGATTGTGAGCATGAAGACACTGAACTCCGTTCAATGTTTAGAGCTCCAAAGATATTCTTTTAAAAGAAATCTTATCCCCCCCCGCCTTATTTATTTGAAAATAAATAAAGGCATACTTGGAACATAAATTCTACGGTTGATTACAGCTTGCGTGGATCGAAACAATAAAATATCATATTGCCTAGATGATGAAAAGGGATAAAAAGCAAGCAAAAAGGTGCACTCTTCTCTGCCTCTATCAATCGATAACACTCATCCCCCTGTCTGCATTCCTGCTATTAGATTTCAGTGCAATCTAATTTGGAGAGCCCCAAAGAGCGTTCCAAGAAGCCACCTTGCAGGAATATGGCTGGCCTCCGCTGTTCATACGCAATTGTAATTAAAAGTTCTGCATAAATATTTGTGTAGGGTTGCATCACCATGGATTAGCTGTGTGTGTTGAAAAGAGAAAGGTGAGCTCACACGCCTGTGCTTCTGGTACAAGCGAAATACCAGCCAATGTAAAGGCACATATAAAAGGTAAAGGGACCCCTGACCATTAGGTCCAGTCGTGGCCGACTCTGGGGTTGCGGCGCTCATCTCTCTTTATTGGCCAAGGGAGCCGGCGTACAGCTTCCGGGTCATGTGGCCAGCATGACTAAGCCACTTCTGGCGAAACCAGAGCAGCGTACGGAAACACTGTTTACCTTCCCGCTGGAATGGTACCTATTTATCTACTTGCACTTTGACGTGCTTTCGAACTGCTAGGTTGGCAGGAGCAGGGACTGAGCAATGGGAGCTCACCCCTGTCACGGGGATTCGAACCGCTGACCTTCTGATCGGCAAGTCCTAGGCTCTGTGGTTTAACCCACAGTGCCACCCGTGTCCCCAAAGGCACATATACTGCTCCCTTAAAGCAGAACAATACTGATGCTGTGTAGATGGATGAAGAGGGGAATCAGAAGAAGCTTCTTCTCCTTTCTAGGGATGGAGAGAAACTGGGTTCTTTTCACGCTTCAATAAGAAATGACACAATTCACATTTTTTGCAAAAAAACCCCTCTGTGCATCAAAACTTGGTTCTCTCTCCAAGATTGCACATCTCCAAATTTTGCAATGTGTTTCTTCAACTAAGTGATGTATACAAAAAAGTGCATGGGGTGGGGGAGTGTGTGTATAAGAATCCATATATTCATGGCAATAGTAAAGGTAAAGGTACCCCTGCCCATACGAGCCAGTCGTGTCTGACTCTAGGGTTGTGCGCCCATCTCACTTAAGAGGCCGGGGGCCAGTGCTGTCCAGAGACACTTCTGGGTCACATGGCCAGCGTGACGAAGCTGCTCTGGCGAGCCAGCACCAGCGCAGCGCACAGAAACGCTGTTTACCTTCCCGCTATAAAGCGGTACCTATTTATCTACTTGCACTTGAGGGTGCTTTCGAACTGCTAGGTGGGCAGGAGCTGGGACCGAAAGACGGGAGCTCACCCCGCCACGGGGATTCGAACCGCCGACCATGCGATCGGCAAGCCCTAGGCGCTGAGGTTTTACCCACAGCGCCACCCGCGTCCCATTCATGGCAATAATGTATGAAAATATGCATTGCATCAGCAGATATAATTTGCAAAAAAGTGCATAATAGGGAGAAAGTGCACAAAAATGCAGATGAATTTTCATGATTCGCTCGCTGATAAGGAAATGTGGAGAACGGAACTTAGAAAGAGAAATGCCTGTGGGAAACCCACAAGCAGGATTCGAACTCAAGAGCACCCTCCCCTCCTGTGGTTTCCATCAACTGGTATTCAGAAGCATTACTGCCTCAACTGGGGAGGTAGAGCATGGCCATCACAGCTAGTAACCAATAGTAGCTTCATCTGCCATGAAATTGTCGAGTCTTCTTTTAAAGCCATCTATGTTGGTGGCCATCACTGCCTCCTGTGGGAGTCAGTTCCACTGATCCTTCAGTTTGTCTAATCCTCTTTTTTTTTTTTTAAAAAAAAAACAACAGTCTAAGCTACTGGCCATAGTGATGTATTTGGAAACCCAAAAGTTATTTAATTTAATTTATTAAGCACATTTATATCCCACTTTGAAAGAAATTATCTTCACACAGTGGTATGTAATTACATGTAAAATACACATAGCGCTACAGATTCCACCCCCCCCCCAAATTTGGGAAGCAATCATACAACCTCATGGAGGAGAGGATGTGATAGCTTGCAGAGCCTCTAACCAACATGGCTTGGAGCAAAATTGCTTTCTGACCCCCCAGCAATGCCATGAGTACACACGGAAATCCCTGCAGCATGACATATTTCTAGAGAGTTCCAGGCCTGAGCTCTGCAAAATGTAAACAGTAGAAGGAGTGCCTCTGTGCATGCGGTGCCTTTCTCTCACTGCTGGGTAATTCGCAAACAGCCCCCGCAGGTCTTAGATTAAATGACCAGACACTGTGCAGCAGATCCACTTAAATCAATAGTTATCTGCAGCCTAAATATAGTTTGAAGACACTCGAACTCAGGACGCAAGGGAGAAACATGCTACAAGGAAGGCATGCTTGGCAAATCCACAATGTGATCAGCTCCCGCCTGGAAACCAATGTCCCCACTGTGAAGGACGTGTGGATCCAGAATTGGCCTCCACAGTCACCTACGGACTCATTGTTAAAACCGTGTTTATGGAAGACAATCTTACTCAGCTACGAGTGATCGCCGAAGAAGAAGATACTTTGAGATGCTTAAAATGTCAAGGCTATTATGATAGAAGCTCAAATCATACACCCTTAAAAAGAAAACCACCCTTCACTACAACCTGAACTTATTTCCAAGATGTGCTATTCATTAAATATATATCATCCCTCAAAGACTGATCAAACCTGAGTATGATCCAGGAAAAGTTACACTCCATTTCACACAGGCACACAGGTCCCTCAGTGACTGCAATTCTGGATGATTGGCAGCTGCACATAGGAACTAACAACTCCTCTGACTTGCATTGCAGATGATGCAGAGTGGAATAAAAAAATGCTGTCTGTGGTGCAAATCAGGAGCGGATGCAAGCCATTATTTGGGTTTGCCCCCAAGCAAGTATCTATTCCTTTTGCAGCTTAAAATTGTGTGTGCCTGCAATCCAATGTTCACTTGGGGAGCAAACCCCACTGCAATTAAAAAGGCTTATGTCTGAATAAACATATATGGGGATGGTCTGTTAAGTCCCACTTGTACCAATGGGATTCGAACATTTCAGCTTCTCTGCTACCCAGCTACCCTTCTGCAATAAAATCTGCAACAAATATAAAAATGAATTCATGATGATGGAAAAGCAATTATTTGCAGAATTGCTTTGCAAATTATGTGGCCTGGGAGATGCCGCAAATCCAGTGGTTCACTAAGCGTCTCCATCAAGACTCTCTTAGAAACATGGTACTGTTGGGGAAGAGTCAAAAGCTCTGAAAGCATCCACTGCCAGGCAGCATGTAGGCAATAGATGGACCAGTGGTCTGGCTTGGGATAAGACCATTTCCTATGCCTGTCAAGTTCAATGAAGACAAAAATCAGCACAGATCACCTAGATCGACCATGGGACAGGATGTAGCTCAGTGGCAGAACACCTGCTTTGTGTGCAGAAGGTCTCAGGTTCAATCCCTGGCATCTCCAGGTAGGGTTTCTGCCTGATGCCCTGGAGAGCCTCTGCCAGCCATTGTAGACAACACTGAACAAGTTCTACTGATGGTCTGGGTATAAGACAGCTTCCTATGTCCCTATATACCACCTTTAACCTTTGCCATTTGGAGTATCCCAAAAGGAGCTGATGGAAGAGCATTTAGTAGAGGCACAGCTGCTGCAACCAGTCCGTTTCAGAGCTGATCTAACCCCAGACTGTAGCTTTCTTTGCACTTTGCTGTGACCAGACAATGGCCTCTGCCCCATCTGCTTGACACATCTGCATTCTAAGTTTATTTAAATAAGCTTGAAGCCAGTTCAAATGTCATGGCTTCCAGCCCACTGGATAAAAGCAACATTCTGAAAGAACTGACAATGACATGGCACAAAATTCCTGGCTGCTTTACAGAAGCACAACTCTCAGGGATGTGCAATCTCCAGCGGTTGTTAGTTAGGATGGCTTCATTACCTCCCAAATCAGAGAGATACTTTGACACTGATTTAGGGCTGAGTGATACCTGATTTTCAACATCATGATGTTTGAAATAAGGATGGAACTATGTAGAAGTGAACAGCAGGGTTGGGTGATATGTGGTTTTCAGCTTTGTG